ATCAAACACGGCTTGTATATTAAACGTAACCTGCTAAGGCATCCTGGCAGCCGGTTATCTACTGTCCATTCTGCAGGGCCGAGTCTCGATCTCGAGGGCAGCTACTCGATGATACTTTCGACGACGCTCTTCCAACCAGCGACGCGGTACCAGACCTCCACCAGATCTCGATCAACGACGAGCGATTCTCGTCATTCGAGGCGCTACACCGTTCGCGGGAGAAGCATTCCGGACCAGTACTTTCGCGACCAGACGCGCGTTAGCTACGTTTCACATCACGACACACGTTACACGCGCGCGACTCAGCGCCGGGACGCAGTCGAGGATGGAAAATTGAACGCCCGCGAACGCACGCCTCAGCGAACACGGTGCGACGAATCGCGAACACGCTCACGCCGAGTCAGCCGCTCAACGGGTCTATCAGCCCGGGAGACTGCGATTTGCAAGCGATTCCAAGAGATAAGCGTATCGTTTGTCGAAGCAAAGGTTTGGAGGCTGACTTTTTCAGAGTTAAGTCGCAAGTCGATGCGTTCGAAATGGGAATGTGACGTGCAGTCCTTGGATTCGTGTGGCCACCAAGGTTTGTTATACGAATGTGATAGCGTGGACAAACGAATTCGGCGTCCTTTTTGATCCTTTGACTATACACACGCCCTCTAAATTTTTCTTACCGTAACACATTTACTGATCCAACGTAGAAATTGATCTAACATGGAATTAACGTAGCAACTGCAGGTAGCTGAATATTTCAATCTCAATTTCGCTGTTCTCGCACGTACACTCTGTAATCGCGTCGTGAATTGTTTATTTATTTCAATATTTATTTCATATTTCTGATCAGTTTTATAATTTCATTCGTTCGTTATTTCTCCAACCAGAAGAAAAAAAACGAGTAATTGTGATAGGAGCCAGCGACTGACGTGCGAATATCGATGATTCCGTCAAAGGGTTAAAGAACTCTTTATGGTTAATTTCACGAAAATTAACGTTCGATGTTAATCCTGACATGGTGACCTGCAGATTGAGATGAATAGCCATCGCCTTAGAAATTACCTCTCCCAAAATTCACGCGTTACTATACACGATTATACAAAATTAGAAAGAAGCCAAGTACAACCTAGAACGTGTTATAGAAGAAGCTTGCTCCTCTCTGATTCTAAATTCTAAGCGGGCAAATGACTCAACTCTGAAGCTTGAAACTTAAACTGACAGAGAACGACCATTGGTTTGAATGAAATTACCTCTCCCAAAATTCACGCGTTACTATACACGATTATACAAAATTAGAAAGAAGACACGCACGACTTAGAACATGTTACAGAAGAAGCTTGCTCCTCTCTGATTCTAAATTCTAAGCGGGCAGATGACTCAACTGTGAAGCTTGAAACTTAAACTGACAGAGAACGACCATTGGT